TTTTTTTTTTTTTTTTTTTTAATTTTTTTTTCAACGTTTTTATTTATTTTTGGGACAGAGAGAGACAGAGCATGAACGGGGGAGGGGCAGAGAGAGAGGGAGACACAGAATCGGAAACAGGCTCCAGGCTCTGAGCCATCAGCCCAGAGCCCGACGCGGGGCTCGAACTCCCGGACCGCGAGATCGTGACCTGGCTGAAGTGGACGCTTAACCGACTGCACCACCCAGGCGCCCCTAAGTACTGTCTCTTAATGAAAGCTTTTGGATGAGAATCTAGGTCTTAGGCCTCTGGACTAGATTTTTTTTCTTACTCAGAACCACGAGTTGGTTTGTATTTAAGCATTAGTGGGGGCTAAAGCCTTAATGAGTTGAGAAACATGTGCGTGTGCCCCGGAAACAATGGCCAAGTTCATGAAAGTACATACTTCTAGAAAAGTCTAAGGAAGATTTTGTGACCAAACAAGTCACCTCCATAACAAAATATACCATAAATCATGGTCAGAGTAATAATAATATCCTTTTGGCTAGGCGCTACTAGAAATTCCAAGGAGACATCAGGAAACATCTGAGTGAAATATGTCATCAGTGAAGTTTGGCTTGTTTTGGCACTAATTTTTTACTTGACTTGAGTTGTAGGAGGAACAGACGCCTTTGCACATTGCCTCTCGCCTTGGTAAGACAGAAATTGTCCAGCTGCTTCTACAACATATGGCTCATCCAGATGCAGCCACAACAAATGGGTACACGCCCCTGCACATCTCTGCCAGGGAAGGCCAGGTAGATGTGGCATCAGTCCTCTTGGAAGCAGGAGCAGCCCACTCTTTAGCTACCAAGGTAAGGGGATGGCTCCATGACAACATGGACCGGGAAGGATCTGAGTCAGGATTCCTCTGTTCTACTATATAGAGTATCAAGAAATGTACATCTCCTTTAGGCCTCTGACTTCTTCCTATTTAAATATTTTAGATTCCTCTTCTAAATCATCAAAGGGGATTGTGAAGTTCCATACCATGCCTTCAGTAAAGAGTGCTAGATTCCATCTTTCTAGTCAGTATTGTTTCTAATACAGGTATCTAGTGCTTTAACTGAGATTATTTCCATAGAGCAAGGGCCACTTTCTCTTCTCTTTCCATCATAAAATGTATAATGTAGTCCCAAGAGAAAAATATAAGATTCTCAAATACATTGAACTAGTATTACTAATGAAGAAAAAAATTGCATTAAATTGGCAATACTGTATTTGCTAAGAGTTTTAGTACTATCTAGAAGTTCACCTCACTTGATCTTGCGATTTTATAACTGTGGTATCAGCCAGTTATCATTCCCATTCTGCTCTCTAATATTTATAGGCTATATTCTTGCCTGGGTATGTACAGTCTCTAAATAGAGCTGTGCTAGAAAATCACTTCATTAGTTGTGTATTCTTTGTATATGCCAGCCTGAATTTGACTTATGTTTGGAGTTTCATGCCGGGGCAGAATAATTTTTCTCCACTTTATACATCCTATTTGAAATTCACTCTGTGGATGTGACTTAGAATAAAACACAAACACACTCAGCTAATCAGTGCTAAAGAAATTGGACGCGTACAGAAGAGTAGGGAAATGAGACAAGTTTAAAGCCTACCACAAGTGTGTTGTTTGCAAGGCAAAACAATTCCCATGAGTACAGCAGTGATTCATATTATTTAAAAGACATTTTCAATTTGCTCATAGTAAATAAGCATAAGTACTACATCTGAGGGAGAAGTATGAACTGGAGTAGTATTGTCGCATCTGTTGTACTAGCAGAGGGGCAACCGCTAGCTATGACTTAATCTGGTTGCCTGTGGCATGTTTTCAATGTAAGAAATTGATACCTATTCAAATGCTGAAATCTGAAGAGTTGCCAGGAATTTAAAAGTCATTTTTTAGAAAAACCCAAACCCAGAAACTAAGCAACAAACTACTAATAGCAACAACAACCACCCAAGAGAGACTGGGTGACTGTCTCATCAGATGAAGGTGGTAAATAATTTCAGGTATCTAAAATATAGAAATAGAGAATAAAATATGTGCCTTCCAAAGTTGTTTAGGATTTCAAAAATATGTCTAGCGCAATAGTAAAGTGCAGCAGTCAAATGGAAGGGAATATTAAACTGACCAGTTTAACAGTGGAACTCACTGGGGTTCTGATGAATAGTTGACTCATCATCATTAAAGCTGTTGGAGTGTTTATACATATCAGAGGGTAAATGAAGTCCTGATGAGGTTAACATAGGGAAAGAAGGAATGTGTGACTTGAGATGCTTTCCAACCTCTATTTTGTGATTCTACATTAAAGATTCTATGTAGTTTTGTCTAGTAATAGGTTCCAAATTTATAAAGGGGCTGGATCACTCTTCCAGCAGGACTTTAAGGGTAAGGCATTTATTCTTCTTCCTTACCACATGGTTTTTTTCTCAAAGGATTCTTCTTCATCCTGATTGTCACGCCAACCATTGTGTGCATTGAGCAGACGGAGCACATTAACACTAAATGTTGGCTTAAATGGGCTAGTGCAAGTTGGAGGAAATACTTCTTATATTTGTCCCACACTTGGAGAAAGTGAAAGACTCACTCTCCTCCAAGGACTTATTAGTGCCAAAGGGTTCAAAAAGAAATAAAAAGAAAAACAACATCTTAAAAGTAATTTGTGTGGTGACACTGTGAACGGGCAATATTGTTTCTGGGGAGATACTCTGTATTGCAACGAAGGCTTAAATGGTCCCAAGGATAAGCTATATCTTACACCACCTACAGCAGGCACATTTACTTTGTGTGTTGTACAGGCCCTGGTCAGCTTTAGAATTCTCCCACTCCACTGTAGTGCCAGAAGAGCATGTGGCTAGACTGTCTGGCCAAGAGGATGGATTTGAGATCATGGTGTAGGAACTGTGCCATCCTTGAGATCTGAGCCCAGCGACTTGGCTGTTTTTGTAACACACTGCTAATTACAGAGAATGGCATTAGTCAGGCACATAAGTCATTGAATCTATAAACATGGGTAAGAGAGCATTCTTTTAAAAACGCTTTACACTGTGGTGGGTTTAAAAGTCTGATGTCAATCAGCTCAACATTGTGCCAGAAGTAGAAGTGTATTTTACAAAAGGAATTGGTCTTTTATACAGCGCAGGTCTTCTGGGAAAGGGGATAACAGGATGGGAGGTGCTTTTTAGTAGTGAACATTTTTTTCTCTGTCAGCCTATTATCCTGCTATTTCTGCAGAAGATACAAATCAACTGAATCACAATAATAATATTTTTTTTACCATTGCTGCTGAAATATCCTAAAATTTAAATGAAGAAATTTGGAATTCAGGTATTATAAAGAGAAGGCAGCTATTGTCTCAGTCCTATTAATTTTAGAGACAAGAAAAAGCCAAGCTCCCTTCCACATCCTGCCCAACTCACTAACGAGAGCCATTTTAGGGACACTGGTAGCTTTTAAATCCCAACCCCATAAAGTCAAATGTCAATTTCTAAGCCCTCAAAATAAAATTTGTTTTGTTCAGTCTATTAAGTCAAACTCTTGTGCATTAAATTTCCTTCTTTTTTTCTAGTCCTTGTTTGTGGCTCACAGATTTAATGCTTCTCATTATTTCTCCCAAATAGAGAGACCCAATATAGTTTGCTTAATATGTTAGCAAATAAAACAAGTTTTGTTAGGAGTCACAAAAATAAATATTACATTTTACTTTTGTTCTTCACATTCCAGAAAGGTTTCACTCCCCTGCATGTAGCAGCCAAGTATGGAAGCCTGGATGTGGCAAAACTCCTCTTGCAACGCCGTGCTGCCGCAGATTCTGCAGGGAAGGTAAAGGTTTTTACTAATACGTGACATTTTTCAATTAGCAATAATCGCGCCTCAGATAAACCTCATTGGCTACGATACTGCCACTGTGCAAAGCTAATATGTGACATTTTTATAACTCAGTCAAGTTGGAAGCTTTGGAGATCTGTGCTTAAGGATATTTTTCCCACTCTCCTGAAAGGAATATGAAAGCAACTGATGAAACTATGCCAAATAGACATGATGGCTCTCTGTCCGTGATCTGTCCACATACACACCAATTTAGAAGGCATTTAAAGCTGTGCCTCCAGTGTATGTTTTTGTCACAACAGGGCCCAGAACATCTCTAAATTGCAATGTTAACGTAGTAATTCTTGCATAGCATTTTAGACTTCTTTTTATGGTGGATATCAAGATAACCTGTGCTAATTTAAGCTCAACCAAGCGTTTTCAGTTTTAGCTAAGTTTCTAATATGAAAACCATTAGGCATTTATTTGATTTTTTTATTGACCGTATTAATTAATTAACACAGACTTAATATACATCGGTTTCCATGCATTTTGGTAGCTTCAGGGCAGCTAACGCTAATTTATTAATGCTGAATTTAAACACACCCTTTACAGAATGGCCTTACCCCACTCCATGTTGCTGCTCATTATGACAACCAGAAGGTGGCACTGCTGTTACTGGAGAAGGGTGCTTCCCCTCATGCCACTGCCAAGGTGAGGACTGCAGACAAGGGTTTACAGATACAGGGTATAACTATAATCTGACCACACGTGGGAATTTTTATTTTTTTAAATTTTAATTCCAATATAGTTAATGTACAGTGTTATATTGGTTTCATGTGTACAATATAGTGATTCAATAATTCCATAAATCACCCAGTGCTCATCATGACTAGCGCCCTCCTTAATGCCCATCACCTGTTTCACCCATCCCTCACCCATCTCCCCTCTGGTGACCATCAGTTTGTTTTCCATAGTTAAGAGTCTGTTTCTTGGTTTCTCTCTCTCTCTCTCTCTCTCTCTCTCTCTCTCTCTCTCTCCCTTTTTTCCTTTGGTTGTTTGTTTTATTTCTTAAATTCCACACATGAGTGGAATCATATGTTATTTGTCTTTGATTTCGCTTAGCATAACACTCTCTACCTGCATCCATGTTGTTGCAGGGAATTTTTTTAAAACACATGCTATCGTATAATTGCAAGTAGTTCTAGTGATAGTAGCTTTTGATATTGACTTTTTAAAAAATTTTCTACCAGTTGCTTCCACAAAGTCGTTTAAGATTTTTTACCAGTCAGTATAGATTAAGGGGATGTGCCTACGAACCAATAGAGATGACTTTTATTGCCAACACTCTGTTTTAGAGACTGAAGTTTTGAATTTTGAGAAATGAAACCTCATAAAGGCAGATAGGTTTTTTCTTTTCCCCTGTAAACAGCGTGTTCTCCTATAACATAACCTTTGAATTGTTCATTCCTTTAGACTTCAATTTTTTCATTGTAGTATATGTAAGACTCTTTATTTATTTTTCTTTAAATAGTTCATCCATGTCAACTATAACATACATCCTTTTAAGTCACTAGGCTAGGAATTCCTTTTTGGTGTACATGTAGCACCAATTTCTGAGATGGTCCCAACTAAGACTTGTACCTACGGATAGGGCATCTTTCGCCATTGGAGCTGTCCCTTATTTACACTGAAAATACACATGAATGTCATATGATACATAAAGTAATCATTGTACCTTTCATTAATTCATTCGGCAAACATGTACTGAGGACATATTAGGATTTATTTAAAAAGAAAAAGTATTTATTTTGTTAGGAAAATAGTCATGTAATGTTAGATGACATAATAAAACAGCGCAGCTACCGTTTATTAGCCAAGCACTGTGCCTACCACTTTACATGCAATATCTCATTTAAATTCATAATAATCCTTTGAGATTGGTGTCATAATAATTTCTATTTTACAAATAAAGAAGTGATATTTGAATAGGTTAATTTGTTCAAAGTCACATGACTAAAAAGCAATGGAGCTAATATTTGGCCTCAAGCAATTTGACTTTAGAACCAGCACTCTTTTTTTTTAAGTTTATTTATTTATTTATTTAGGTAATCTCTACACCCATCATGGGCCTCAAACTCACAACCCCAAGATTAAGAGTCAGACGCCCAACCGACTAAGGCACCCAGGCGCCCCTAGAACCAGCACTCTTAACCACTAGGTCCACTGTGTCCCAAAGCAGTAGAGAGAGAATTAGTCTACTTCTATTATACAAATATGTACTCACATGTCTATTTAAATTACATAGTTATACATATATAATAAAATGGGATACATTATATAAAAAGTATACTCTGTATAATATTATATATTTCATAAAAAAGTATGTTACATATAAATATACACAACTTTGTACATATAACTACACATATGTCTACTTATATATTTATACATTACATATGTATGCATATTTTATTGGTACAAATATACACTAACAATAAAATACTTAAACTATCAAAAAAGGAGGACAAATATTGATAATTATGCTTATCATTCTTATTCCTTGATACTCTTTTCTTAGTAATCTCATCAATTCTGTATTTATTTGATGTCTTTCTTCCTGCTAGATTATAAATACTTGAGGACAGTAATTATGTAATATTCATTTACATATTCCTGAATTACTTCATACAGTACTATGTGGGTTCTCAATACATTTAAATGAAAGAATGAAGGCTAAGAAACTATTTCAATGGAATAAAAAATATCTGCTCACTTAACATGCCAGTATTTTTTTCATGAACTTTCCAGGCTGGCCATTATCAACATAGATATGAAAGATTTCATCAATACCCAATAATTCTTTAACTCTTCCTATGTATAAAGAAAGGATTGTGGTAAAACATTGTTCTCCTCCCACAAGAGACTCTCAATCTACTTGGGAAAGAAAATCTAAATTATAAAATAATCTGTATGGTTTTGCCAGAGAGACAAATATATCCCTGATCTCTAGCCTCTATGGTGTATGGTCTTAGCCACATGCATGGAGTCCAGAAGACCAGGTAGAGCAATCCTCTGCTCCGGAGTTCACAGTAGGATGGGTGTTCAGGAGGCTCCTGTGGTATCTTCCACTCATCCACCCCAGCCTGTCAATGAGCATGAGTCCTCTGGGACTACTCCAAAAAGAGGAACAGAGAGAGAGAGGGAGACACAGAAGCTGAGAGAGAGAGAGAGAGAGAGAGAGAGAGAGAGAGAGAGAGAGAGTAAGCATGAGCGGGGGAGGAACAGAGAGAGAGAGGGAGACACAGAAGCTGAAACAGGCTCCAGGTTCTGAGCCGTCAGCACAGAGCCCGACGTGGGGCTCAAACCCATGAACCATGAGATCATCACCTGAGCTGAAGTCGGAGCTTAACCGACTGAGCCACACAGGCACCCCTCCCATCCCCACTTTTGACTATTCACTGCAACCACCTGTCCCAGCCACAGACATAATCTCTTGGGCCTTAGAATCTGTTTGCTTCTTTCTACCAGAGCCCAGAGCTTTTCTTAGTTTTTATTGGATTTTTTTTTTTTTTAGTTATTTGATTCCAAAAAATGTCACTGTACATGAAGTATGAGGGCTCTTCAGATCTTTTAGGTCAAGTATCTACTGGACAGTCAGATCTCTTATATTGTCAAAATTGACACTCTCTTTGATGATCTCTTATGTTGTTTTGATAAAACCTGCTGTTCTCATCCACATAAGTCTCTGACTTCCTAACCTTGGTAAATTTATTCTGATAATTCATCTAATTTGCGTAGAGCCTATGTGCAGGGATGGGAGATGTTTGGATGGAAGAAAATACACTACAGTGGCAAAAAAAATACTAAACTTATATGGTCCATAAAAATTTATGTGTCCTTTAAAGGAGCTCTTGGTTCTAAGTGCAGTGTTCTAGAACACCTGAAGCATCTGGGACCTACGATAATATCATGAAAAGGCTTCTAAGGAGAGTTGCCAGATTTCCTCAGCAGCTGAAAGGGAAATATCATTTATTTGAACTGAAAGAGGCCTACTTTTACTCGGAGAAATGGGGGGCAGAGTAGGTAGATAACATAGGACGTTGAGGAACAATATTCGATGATGGCATATAAAGACATTTAAATTCTGAAAACTACTTTTTATTTTTTGGTTCCCTTTGCAGTTAGGCTTCAGGAAATAACATAACCTAAAATGACCTCTTATGATAAACTCACAAGAAGCAATTGATCGTTATGCGGCCTTTACCTTCGTTATAACACAGTTAATGTCAAAAACCACCATTTTTAGTTTCTATTACACATTTTTCATGGAAAATTCTACCAGAAAAAGAAAGTTCTACCTTTGAAAAAAGAAAAGGAAAGGGAACAATATAGGTTCCAGACTTACATTTGTTCCATGGGTCTGTTTGTTGTTTCTTTTAACCAAGTATAGGGTGTAAGGTGTAGCTCTTGTCAGCAAAGTCTGAATTCCTCTGGTCCTCTCTACAAACTCCCACATAAAACTAGTAGCCTCATATGTCTATTTTTGAGCTACAGGTTATAGGGGCAATGGGAGATCTAGGATTTTACCTGGCCACAGGATTAATATAAGCTAGTTTTGTTTTTTTTAAATATCTTTTCCATTAGAATGCAACCGCTTAAAGACAGGGATTGTGGGGCGCCTGAGTGGCGCAGTCGGTTGAGCGTCCGACTTCAGCCAGGTCACGATCTCGCGGTCCGTGAGTTCGAGCCCCGCGTCGGGCTCTGGGCTGACGGCTCAGAGCCTGGAGACTGTTTCCGATTCTGTGTCTCCCTCTCTCTCTGCCCCTCCCCCGTTCATGCTCTGTCTCTCTCTGTCCCAAAAAGAAATAAACGTTGAAAAAAAATTAAAAAAAAAGAAAAAGACAGGGATTGTATCTTGTCCACCTTTATATCCTCACACTCTGAGTGGCATGTGCTAGCTACTTACTAAATAGCTATTGAATAAGTAAAAAGTACAATCCAGCTAGAAGCATAGTCGCAGGAGTGTTATAACAAATATACAATATAAAATATACAATATAAAATTCCATTTTATTCTGTACTATTAAAACTGTATCCGAAGCATAGCATTCAGTTCTGGGTAGCACAGTTCAAGACCAGTGTTGACAAACTAAAATCAGTCCAGAACAGATCCTCCTTAATGGAGAGGTCTGGAGATGGGGCTTCTATCAGGAATAGTTGAAGGACTGGGGAAGTTTAACCTGGGAAAGAAGAGTAAAGGGAGACATGAAAACCATCTCCAGGTATTTAAAGGACAGTCATAGGGAAGAGGAACCTGGCTTATTTTATGTTGCTCTGCAGGAGACAACCTATCTTATAAAAAGAGATGTTAAGCTTTGGGGTTTTTGTACCTATACCTGTTTTACAGTAGAATGGGTGCCTTTTGATGTTGGTTGTAAAGATACGAGTGGGTGTTGTTGGATGGGAACTTTAATGGGTAAGAATCTAGATCTACTGTAAACTCACTTTTTAACTTTTCTATTGATTAGAGATTCTTATTTCCTATTGAATATATATTCCTACTTGAATATATATGCAAAGATATATATTAAGGCAAGTGTCAAACTTACAATGTATATATGTTTTTGTTTTTGTGTTTTTGTTTTTTTGTTTTTTGTTTATAGAATGGCTATACTCCTTTACATATTGCTGCCAAGAAGAATCAAATGCAGATCGCTTCCACACTCCTGAACTATGGAGCGGAGACTAACATTGTAACAAAGCAAGGAGTAACCCCACTCCATCTGGCCTCACAGGAGGGGCACACGGATATGGTCACCTTGCTTCTGGATAAGGGAGCCAATATTCACATGTCAACTAAGGTATTCTGTTTTTGCCTTTTGTTTTAGCCAAGAGTCTCTCAGATGAGTGTAAAGAGAAACCAATCAAAGATAACGTGTAACAAAAAAATGGGGGATATATTAAAAGGAAATAGAGATATCTTATAGAATTCAAGGACAGTAACAGTCGAGTCTTCCGATGAACAAGAAACCACAAGGAAGCAAGAAGCGGACTCTCTGCCTATATGGCTACATTTCTGAATCTTGACTTTTCCCTGTGAGTCAGTTTCATTTACCTGTCTCTGCAGATCTACTTTCTCTGCTTCTCTGTGTTTTGTGAGCAAAGTGATGACCCCATAGCTCCGAAGAGGTAACATCACTTCAGTTTAAGAAGTCAATCCAGATTGCCATAGTACCTGCCGGTCATAATCCCAAATTTCAGAGAGAGACAGTAAGAGTGAGGGATACAGAGAGAGGTGACAGTTCTCTGGGATCTGGCCCAAACAACTGCTTCTAAGCTGTTGGTCCATGGCCACTACCCAAGCCATTCTGGAGCCTGATTGAGCATCAGAGGCACCTGAGAGGTTGGGGGGTGGGGACAAGGAACTCGCTAGAAGTCTGGATAGCCAACTTCAGCCTAGCTTGAGTAGTTGTGGTGGTGGTGGCCAGGGAATTAGTGTTTTTAATAAAGAACTGCAGTCGTTTAAGCCTTTCTCCAGAAAATGGCTCCTGAGGACAAGCACATTAACTGTAATAGAGCAACAGTTAGGAAGAAGAGGAAAAGATATTCTTCAAATATGAAAATATTTGGACTTTACAAGTACATGTCTGTCTATACATCTCCCTCTTTCTCTCTATATATATATCTATAACTCAACCTACCTACCTGCCTGTATACCTACCTACTTATCTATTTAATGTATAGTAAAACATTATACTTACATATACTCCCCTGGAGCCAGCTGCTGAGAAACTAAAAGTTGAAGCCTATGTTTATAAGTCAGTTCATCATTTATATATTTATTTTTACTTTTCTTAAGTTTATTTATTTATTTGAGAGAGAGAGAACAAATTCCAAGCAGGTTCCGTGTTGACACAGTACAGAGCCTGATGCAGGGCTCTGAACCCACGAACTGTGAGATCATGACCTGAGCTGAAATCAAGAATCAGACATTTAACGGACTGAGCCACCCAGGTGCCCCAAGTTAGCTCATCATTTAGATCTCTTAATGCTTTACGTAAGACAAGTTATAGGTTTAGTGAAAATTAAGTTTCTTAGGATTTTTCACAAACGCACAAATACAGTGTTTTCTACATCTCACCGTTGAGCTAATTAATGCTTTTGGAGACTCAGTTGTAAATTGGTCTTAATAACATTTATCAATACGTTATGTAGCATTATGTCCTTTAGAAATAACTATGAAAAAGACAGTTGTCTTGAATGCCTCTAGAGTCCGTTTCTGTGTCTTTATCACTCAGAAATGCTCCAGTAAATCCCTTACCCTTATACACTTCTCTGTTCTCTATCCAAAGTCCTCACAGATCCTTTTTTATAGTCAGAAATAATTATAGAGTTGGCTCTCCAAAAGATATTTATTTATATTTTAGCATGAATGAACATGATTAAGCCTTACATTCAATATATCAGCTGTCATTACAATCTGGGGCATGGATTTCCTTGTGGTCATCTAAACCATGCCATTCAGGTGGTCATTTACCTACTGGGGATATTCTCACTATGAGACCAATGGTAGAATATTTCATTTAACATCAGTATATGAAGAGGGCAGAGAGTTTTTATTGTCCATTAAAAACAAATATGCATTTGAAAATAAACACAAGAAATCCATAAACAAATCAAGCAAAATTTTGAGTAGAATGAAATTCTAGGCATTTCATGAAACTGATCATGCAATGCTTCTGATACTGCTATTTTTAATTTGTAAAAATGGTGTACTCATATCTGGAATCAGTTAACTATGTACTCTCTGATAGTATTCCTCTAAACATATTACTTCCTTTGAGGGAGTTTTATCAGTCACAGTCAGTGAATATTTATGAATATTTTTGAGTTGCATACTTCGCAGTGAAGAAATATTTTCAATTTTGAACCACAAACTAATTATGTTATCTTCATAACAATGATTTCAATATTAGATTTGAGTGCTGTCCTAAATTAAGGTATGATGTATTTGTCACTAGAATAAAACTTTAGGGAATACGCTTATATATATCTTAATAATAATACAATATATAGAATCTATCTATAAAAATATAACCTTACCCTTTGGTTGGTATTATAATGAGCTAATGCAACTGCAGGTAAAAAGCAAAGCCAATAATACATTTTTCTAAAGCCTTTGAAACATGCATATATTCTTTTGCTATTCAAGACCAACTGCAATCAATAATTTCATACTCTCCAAATGATTACTTCTCAATAAGAACTAAAATATAGAAATTATATTACATTTCTTATCCAGTCACCATGTGATAATGAAAAAACAGTTGTAGAGTCCACTAGTGCATTTCAGGAAATAAGTTCCTCTTTTTGAAAAGAAGTCCTTCAACATCTTCTATTTTCTTGATTTATTAGAAAAGTTTTCATAATTTGATTTAGGTATGCAATTTTATCATAAAAAAGTGTAGAGGATTCTCATCTTGGCTGTTAGTTTGCAATCTTATATTGTAGAAAATCTATTCTGCAAATAGTATAGAAAACAGCAGATACATTTGACATGCCATTTAAAATATCTTTGAGATAGTTGATGATCATTTCCCTTCGTAGTCACTTCAATGACATTTTAAAAGACCAATTGTGTCCATAAAGAGAAATATTTTTATGTTTGCTTTTTTCATATGAAGAAACTCAAAATGAGGAAGAATCTTCTGTTTTGTCCTTATATTCATGTTGTTCGTACTTTAGGACCGTATAGTATTTGTTTAGAAGGACGTTTTGGGGCACCTGGATGGCTCAGTCACTTAAGCATCTGACTCTTGATTTCTGCTCAGGTCATGGTCTCATGGTTCATGAGTTCAAGCCCCGCATCGGGCTCTGTGCTGACAGTGGGGAGCCTGCTTAGGATTCTCTGTTTCCCTGGCTTTCTCTGCCCCTCCCCAACTCACCCTTTCTCTCTCTCTCTCAAAACAAACAAACTTTAAAAAAAAAGTCCTCTTTTTTCAGTTTATTTATTTATTTTGAGAAAAACTTAAAAAAAAGTCCTTTTTTTTTTTTTCAAAGTTTATTTATTTTGAAAGAGAGAAAGAGCGAGAGCGGAAATGGAGGAGAAACAGAGAAAAAGGGAGAGACAGAGAATCCCAAGCAGGCTCCACACTGTCAGGGCAGAGCCCTACATGAGGTTTAAACTCCCCAAATGTGAAATCACAAAATTAAGAGTTGGATGCTTACCCAACTGGGCCACCAGGCACCCCAAGAAGTGAGCACATTTTAATGCAAAAGGTCTATCTTCCATCTCATCCTGATGGTTTATAGAACTCAAAGCTGAGCTCAGCCAAAACTATAAGGATTTCAAAGCCCCAGGCCTCAAATAAAAAAAAAAAAAAAAACTTCTCTCTAGTTGGAGAATGTTTTTCTCTCTGTACATTTATTTTTTTAATTTTGTTTTTTAAAGGTCAGAGGACTTGTCCATTTCTAGGAGTATTCCCTGGCTAGCGATCATGAATTTTCAAGAACATGGCTTAGCTGTCTCAACCTAACCTGACTGCAAATCCATGGTCAGGGGAGGCTGGTCGATTCTAATTGGATGTGAATTGGGAAAGTGGAGGTGGGGGTGGGAGTAGGGGTGGGCAGGTGGATGGGGGCTGACAACTCAGAACATAAAGAAACTACCTCAGTATACAGCTGCAGGATGTACAGGAAGAGGATGCATATCCCAGGTATTTGAGCAATAGTAGGGGGAGAGAAACATGGAATGAATATACTGCTAACTAGCATACAGGGAAGAAACTTTTGTTCACTGATATATTCAAATACCTACAACACTTCATGGCATATGAAAGGTAGTCAGAAAATACCCATTAAATACACAAATGATTTAGGATTTAAAGGGATTCTTTTAATGTCAGTTTTGTTAGAAACTACTTGCGCATGTAGTGAGGCTGCCAGATTGTGGCATTGACTTAATAAACCAGTCTTTCCCTCTTCTTTCATCTTGTATTAATTCATAACTGTACTTTAATTGCATATACAAATAATCAAAATATTTACTTGATGTGTACATGCCAAACATTTTACATAAAGCTGGCCGATTTATGGTGCTGTATATAAATGATGGGGTCACGGGGCGCCTGGGTGGCTCAGTTGATTGAGCGTCCGACTTCAGCTCAGGTCATGATCTCACAGTCTGTAGGTTCGAGTCCCGCATCAGGCTCGTGCTGACAGCTCGGAGCCTGGAGCCTGCTTCCGATTCTGGGTCTCCCTCTCTCTCTGCCCCTCCCCCTCTCATGCTCTGTCTCTCTCTGTCTCAGAAATAAAC